CCCCCCCCCCCCCCCCCTTTTTTTTTTTCTTCCCCTCCTCCTTATTCAGCCTGGCCTTAGTTTTGGAGCTTTTCCATCTATTTCCCGTAGAACTACTTATACTGGACTTTGGCTTTTTAGTGACAAAATAGTGAGTCATTATGATTTAAAACTTGAGACATTTCAGCCAAAGTATCATGCAGAGGAACTGGCTGAGCTGCCCCCAGCAGGGTCAGGACAGGCAGCCTGTTGGGCACAGTGCTCAGCTCTCACTGCTCGTCCAAAACCTCAGCACAGGGTGGGATGTCACGACGTAACAGACCCTGTTTCCCACCGTTTGCTGCCCCTCTGCTCCCTCAGGTGGCCTGGCTGCTGTGATCTACACGGATGCCCTGCAAACCCTCATCATGCTGATCGGGGCTGTGACTCTCATGGTCTTCAGTGAGTGTTTCCCTGGCGCTTTATTACTCAAACTGTGACAGAAGCTTTACAAGGTGCTATGAACAACCTGGATCAGCACAACTGATCACTCAGTTGATGTTCTGGGAACTGCTTTCTATGTATTTTCCTCTTGGAATATATGCTTACACAAATAACCTCATAGTAGCTCTTTATGTAGTAAAAAATGCTCAAGTGGTCCCTGAAAAATCTGTAAAGAAACACACTTTGAAGCAACACTACAGATGAACCTTCTGTAGGCAGCAGTGTTGTGCTATCCCCTGGCCCAGTGCTGGAGTCAAGAGCTTCTGATTTTAAGGAATATTTGTGGGGGATCCTCCATAGCAAACTACAGAGACTGAAAATCCACAGGATGATGTGATAACTGCTTCTCATGACCTGTTTTAGGCTTCATTGAAGTTGGTGGCCTTGAAGGTTTGCAGACAAAATACTTCGATGCCATTCCCAGCACCCGCAAGGAGAACAGCAGCTGTGGCTTGCCAAGGGAAGATGCTTTTCACATTTTCAGAGACCCTGTTAACTCTGACCTTCCCTGGCCAGGAGTTCTGGTGGGAATGACCATCCCATCCCTGTGGTACTGGTGTACAGATCAGGTGGGTCCCTGCTTATTGCTTTTTTCAGGTTCAAGGACACGTTACTGGTTGTTTGAATCCAGCTACAAATGCAGGCTCCGCACACAGCCTGGTCTGGTTTACTGTTTCTGATGGGAATTCATTAAAATCTGATGGTTTCAATCCTAAAGCTGCAAAACTTGATATGCACAACTAAGTTTTGGCAATCACTTCAACATAAAAAGGGGTGAGAATGTATGTATTGAGCTAATCCCAGTCTACAAAGATTATTTTTGTCCTAACTTTGTAAACCAGCTGTGAACTCACTCCTTCAACTTCCCAGGGCTCTGAGTGCCACCCATCCTAGTGACAACACCAGAGCCAGCCAGACTGAAGCCCTAAGCAACCCCCTGATGTTCCTGCAATACGCTTTCATTTCACTCCCTTTGCTTGTCCCAGCCTCTGTCCTGCTTGGCAGGAGGGCTGCTGACCTGGCCGGGCTCAGCCATCGGGTCAGGGAAGTCCCCAGCAAAAGAAGAAGAAAAGAAAACTCAGCCCAAGTATGATTAGCTAAGGCAGGGGGAGGCAGCCTGGTGCACTGCAGCAGCACAGCTCAGGTTGCATGACACAAGCTGTGCCTTTTATATCTAAATTTCTGGAAGGAACTCGGGATCTGATGCAAGAGTCACAGAGCTCCAGCCAAGCTCTGTGTTCCCCCTCTGAGGATTTCAATAGTTTAGAGCACAAAATTTACACACAAGTGTGACTGGCATCACATCACCTCTGCTGGCAGCAGACAAAACCATTTCTTCATTTCTAGGTCATCGTTCAGAGGTCCCTTGCTGCTAAAAACCTCTCTCATGCCAAAGGAGGCTCCTTGATGACCTCCTACTTGAAAATTCTGCCCCTCTTTATGATGGTCATGCCAGGCATGATCAGCCGGATTCTCTTTCCAGGTAAGTGCTGAAGGAGAGATCCCCGTCCCTGCTGCTGGTCATACCCAGGTTGTGGAGCTGGGGCAGCCTTCACTGAATAGGGGTAAATGTATCAAATGCTCAAACTAGGAAGAAATTTCCTTCCCAGCCTAAGGTGCAGAATGCCCACCCTCCTGCAGCAGATCCCAGGCACCAATTCCCTGCTCCGTGTGCTCCAGCAGTTGGCAGGAGCTGTTCCCACATGCTGTGCTCATCCCTTTGAGCTCCTGCCTGCACCTGCTCCATGGTGTGGCCACGGGCACAGCCCCCTCCTGCACCCATCGAGCTGCTCCTCCTGCAAATCCCACCATAGCACCTGGAATGTCATAAACTGCCCACTGGGCAGGAATGTGTGGACGTGCTGGTCCCTGAGGAGCTGAGCCAGAGGTGCCTTAGTACTCCTGGAAGCCACATTCCTAGAGAAGGGCTAGCCATGCAAAGCAGGGCAGCTACCAATGCTGGCAGTATCTTTTGCATGGAAGTGAAAAAAGGGAAAACAGAGAAGCCAGCATTTTGGTTAGGAAGCAGCTTGAAACATTCAGGAGACGAACTTGTTGAGAGCTGTTGGTGTCCTGTGGCTGTGGAG